TGCGTAGACAAAAAATGAATAAAGGTTTGTTCCAAACAGTCCTGGAAGCAGAACACTGAGAAAACATTTTGGTGTATTGAAGCATCACATTTTATTTCATTTTTCCAGCAACTGCAAAATCAGATGACGACTTGCCTTCGATTTAGGCCAAAGTTACCACCGAAACCTTCGAAATGTGTATGTGGTTGTGTTAAATTTTCATCCCCATATATGTTGCTACGTATGCACGACAGTTGACGCTACGCTGTGTAATTGCTTTGTAGTCCGACAGAGGTTGTCGTGGGGCACGATAGGGCCGCAATTGATTGCCGCAATTACTTAATTTTTTGAAGTATTGGAAATCCACATGGCACAAGCGCGACGTTTGACGTAGGACTCACAAACCGACGGGTAACAGAAAACCGTCCATGTTCTGATTATAGCAGTGTTAATGTGGTTGTGTGGCGTGTCGCTGTTCCATCAACTGTGTCCACTTAACCGTATGATGTTTAAAACAACCTCTCTTTTGAAGCAGTGGATAATATCTTCTGAATCGCGGACAGCTCTTTGGCTCCTCTGGAACTCCGTAGCTTATTATTGGGGGCGCTTTTGTAAAGACAATTATGGGGGAGAACCGATTTTCTAGAAATTGTCATTGTTGATTGTCACGTTGAACTCCAAGTTTTGCCAGTAAATTTTCTTAAATGATCTTCAAGCCTTATCCAGTTAATTACCATTATTTCAAGAATCAAACCAAGTGTAAATAATCATCATACCCCCAGCGTACAAGATCTTCCAAGACAACAAAACCTTCCAAGACAACAAAACCTTCCAAGACAACAAAACCTTCCAAGACAACAAAACCTTCCAAGACAACAAAACCTTCCAAGACAACAAAACCTTCCAAGACAACAAAACCTTCCAAGACAACAAAACCTTCCAAGACAACAAAACCTTCCAAGACAACAAAACCTTCCAAGACAACAAAACCTTCCAAGACAACAAAACCTTCCAAGACAACAAAACCTTCCAAGACAACAAAACCTTCCAAGACAACAAAACCTTCCAAGATAACAAAACCCTGTGTCTTTCCAAACAGACCCTTTGATTCCTCAACAAGACCCCTCTATTGCAAGCATCCAAGCCTGTCCAGACCCTGAAGCTTCGGACCCGTCCAGGATGTTCCAGGTCTCTGGGATCTTCATTGCCTTCCAAATTCACCGGGGTTTCTAACCTCTACCTCTACCAGATCCCATCTTCCAAGACTGCCAGTGCCAGGATTTCAGACGCGGGCAGAACTGCTTCCCCCCGTGAACTTTGAAAACTGTGAACTTTCAGGAACCATTTTATCATTGAATTTGTATGACTTTTGCGCAATCCCTCTGGATTTCTCATTTCCTCTTTTTCATTTGTGTTACCTGATATGAATCAACATCATTAATCGGACGGAATTAGAACAATAGGAGCATAAATAATATTTTACAATGGAATTATTTGTTTTTTATTCATTCATTTTTCATTCATATTTATTCATTTTATTGAGTATTCTAGTAGTTTCTGAAGTATTAATTTGCTACAGATTCTTTTCCAAACAGAAAAACTACCGTCAGTGCTTGTCTACAATTCGGAAACGTTCACACAAACAATTGTTTGTGTAGACCTACTTCTTTAAATCTTGACCGTTCACGATGGGACCAGAATTTTCTACCCTTTCAAATTTATTGTTGTTACCGACATTTTACGCAATTTGTTTCCTGTAAATCATTATCATTTTGTACTTTTTTCAAACGCCTTCCAACTAAAATTGTTTTATGACGACTAATTTTTATATTTTGTAGTTTGCTCTCTCGATTGTGTGATTCATAATATAGATTGATCATGGCGGCTTTCAATTCCATGTTAACGGGGAACTGTGATTTCGGAACCAATGAGTAAAGCTAAAGAAATAAGTCGGCTTTGTTCATTCAGAAATTTACATGCAAATTTTACTCCCACCTTTCTTGGCAAAGATGGCCCTTTCTGTCTTAATTTCTGCCAGGGATAAAGGGGGGAACTGTGCTTTCTCCTGAAAAAAATATAACCTTAATAACAAAGAAGAATTTATACTCAAGCTATACATTGGAAGAAAAACTTTATTAAAATGTTCTTCATTAAATTTGTCTCGGGAAAAGATCATAACTTACATGTGTTTTCCTCTAATCGACTTGTTTCCGTCCTGCATGCTCCCCAGGAGGCGGCAAATGCTTTGTCACGGAGTGCGGTAAGATCATCACCGGCCGTAGCCCTGGTCATAGCTCTACACATCTCTCCTTTCACTAGTAGCGAAAAAAATGGCTGACTTCCAAGGCGATTTAAAAGAACACAGCCAAAACAAAGTGCGAAACTATGGGATTTAGCATATTTATCCGACCGACTCCAAACCAAAATCAAAAAGCAGTTCAGATCATACAAAAGAGTCTTAGAATGCTATGAGCTGTTTTGCAAGTGGTGCAATATGGCTGATGTCTTCTGCTTTGTGTTTTACTCATAAACGCCGACGATAGCAATGCGAATTTTACCATAACCAGTTTTTAAAGAGAACTATCTCAGAGCCATGATGGAGTGGATTCAGTCAATTCAAAAGTTGCCCATTATAGAGCCACTTTGGGTAATAGCGCAGGCATCATCTTAATTTATTTCCGGGCTGGGCAAAGCACTCATCAACAGCAAATAAACCATTAACGATGGAAAGGGGTCAATTCTGTGGTATTTTCGAGCAAATTGATAATATTCAGCCCCTTTCCTCGCTTTCTCTTCTTTCCTTGTTCCCTATTAAACCCCGTCTCGATTGTTTTCATCAGGGCATGAAGCGCTCATCTCCCCCTGCGACGCCCAAGTGTGACAGAATCCTTTCAGATGCGATCTGAATGAAATTAATTTCTGCAGCATTAAAGATTGTCGCTATAATAAACAACCATTTCTCACTTTCTGTATGTCGTGCTTTCTCTGGGTATGTTAAATATTGACCATTCACAAACTAACTTCGCTCAGTTACCTGAGCAGTAAGGAATTTCTTAGCTGGGACTATACTGGTTCGACTTGACTGCATTAAAATATCTTAAATTAAATTCGAAATCCAAGTTGCCTTCGAGATGTATGCATTGTAATAATGCAAATATCGCTGGATCCCCCAGAATCACATAAATTACCTGTCAGAAGTAATTTACATACGGAACGCAGTTACCTGCAGTAAGATCTACTTGTCAATTTTTGTGTGGACATTTTGTGCCCATCATGCCACGGTTTTTAGTCACCATTTCCTCAAGGGTCACTGCAATACTCAAACAACCTGAAAACTTCATCTTTGTGTCTCGATTAACTTCATGTTCAACTTCCTTTTGGTCACTTAACACGATATTTTGCTGAGTGTTTGGTTTTTTCATGCTAATGAATATGTTGGCAAGAAAATATGGCAAGAAAAAGGTATCAATCAATATTACGTTAGTTTGTGCTGATGTGATTGCTGGTTTTTCATTTTTCTGACCTAAATTTTCCCCTTGTTACTGATTTATTGTAGTGTAAATACATAGCAATATGTCAGCGATCATACCTTTCTTAGAACCTTTTTCAGTAATTGAATTCTGAATTCAAAATGTGACCAGGTCCTGAACTATGTTTCCCCGAGTGACATCAGGAAACAGCGCCCTCAGTTGTTCTGTGAAACATGGACAATCATGAATGATTAGAAAAGTGCACCGTTCATTGAAATTGTTTTCACAAATTGAAGAACAGTTTATAAAATGTGTCTGTGAAAAAATAAGCTCTATTGCCAAAGTTAGAGTGCAAACGGTGTATCCAAAGGCCTTTACTCGTTGTTTGTAGTTGAACATCAATGATTTCTCAATGAAATGAAACACTATGAAGGTTATCCCACGTGTAATTTAGTGATTTAGAATGAATCCTGAGAAATGATAATTATACTTGCATTCGATTGGACTTAACTTTTGGGTTCTACATGCTTCCTGAAAAGTGGCAGATGCCTTGTTACGGAGCGCAGAAATGTCATCATTGGTCCTTTACACCATTGAATTGTATCTTTTTCTTTCGCTTCATAAATAACGACATCCGCTTAACTAACATTCATTATTTATTTTATATGATGCTCATTTTGGACATGAGTAGTGTTACCCCTGTTTGTAGTTTATTTCTTTTGTATTGTCTTTTGTAATGGTATGACTGATACAAGCTTTGTTTTTAAAATTTTGCCACCCCAAGCTGCCTATTATCTCATGTACTTAATATATTTGCCATGAGGAGGAAATAAAGTAATTGAAATTGAAAACTTGAAATGGACATAATGAACTGACTGAAAAACCAAGTAACACATGTCAGCATCTTGCATCCCCATGCATTTCTGTATCTACACTTCAGTGCCAACCGAGACCCCTGAAGCCCTGCATTCCCGCTAGAGCGAGGAGCTTACCTTTCAAAACGATTCAACCAACATCTTCAACCAATATCTTTATATTTCAACCAATATCTTTATATTCATATCAATATATTTATATTTAAGTATTTATGCAAGTTTTTAAGCCAACTCTTCTGGAGAGCCCCTCAACAGAAATCTTTTTTTTTCTGGGCAATCCATCGGGAACTGGTTTGGATTTGTCCTTTGTTCCATCGTGTACATTTATGTTTTACTGTCTTTTTTGTTTATCTGTATTTCCCAAAAATGAAATAAATAAAAAAAAATAAATAAATAAAATAAACCACAGCATGTGATAGTTTCACCTACTGTCCCGAGCTGGACCAAAAGAGGGCGCAACGGGCCCTTCTTTGGTACTTACGAACAAACGACTTGGGAACGCAAGCGTTGCAGTCGCCACATCGCCACCAATAAAATGAATACTCCCGACCAACGCGGCGGTGGCGGCCCTTTTTATTCGATGAGGGCAGCGTCTGCTTGAGGCGGATAGGGTGCTGCTGCACATTTTACAACTCGGATTTTATTACAAGTAAGGAAGGAAAACGCCAGTTGTGAATTCATGTTGGGTTTACCGACCTTTTGCGTTGCATTTATTGCTTTTTATCTGATACCTTTTTCAACATGTTTGAGTTTACCTCTGCATCTATGTAGCAATTTTTCCTTCTATTTGAGAAGCACAGAAAGCTGTTTATTTACAAATGATGCTTTGCGTGCTGGCTTCAACATTTGATTAAACACTGTACCAAAACGGCTCATTCGACTACTCAGGCATTTTGCTATTGATTTACATCACTTTGTGATCCATGGGTAAGTTGGGGAAGGCCCACTCTCCTATGCAGACCAAGTTTTCGATTCATTATGCATGTTGTGGATGATGTTGTCTCTTACTCTATCGTGATAGCATGTTTTGAATGACAAGACCACCCCAGTGACCCATATTAAAATCATATTTTAGGTTTTATTGCCATGGTTCTGGACACGATACAACTTTATTCTTGAAAAAACTTCCGACGCAGTTTGTGTCTGAGATTTAAAACCTGCACTGGGGAGTACAGAATTTTTGTCAGTGTAAATCTCTTTGTATTTGAAATTTTTCTACATTTTATGAATGACTAATCGGTATGTAAGCATACTTTACTGTATCAAATAAAAGTCATTTTATACTTTCAAGCATCTAACCATCGAAAACATTTACAACATTTTTAAGTTTTTAACTACATTTTTTCCTTTTGACGCGTGTGAAAAAGATAAGGCGTTCCTCCTTTAAACTTAACTAGATTGGTTTAGATATTTCTAAATATCTCAAACTGGATTTCTTTAGTATTGTCATCGATGGAATCTGACCAAAAACCAGAAAATTTCGAAGTAGAATATAGTTCTCACCCCTATGGAAGAACTATGAGACGCTGGTGGCAGCAGACAACGGTCCTTAGTCCATTGTTATCACAATTTGTGCGCATGCTCAGAAATGCCTGTAGGTCTTCTTTCATCAGCTCTTTAAGTTTCCCGCTGGCTTGGCTTCGACTGTATAGCAGTCTCATAGATACGACTTTATACTGCCGGCCCCTAGCCAAATGTTTTGGACGCAGCTTAAGCAGAGGCGAAACTAGGGCTAATTTTTTTTTGGGGGGGGTACCCGGGTGTGCAGACATTTTTGCAAGGAGGCACCACGAGAAAATAAGCTGCAGCTACATTGCAACGATTATTAACCAAAGATTTCAAATGGGGGGCACCCGGGGAACGGGCATCCGATGGGCGTGCACGTGCGCCCTGTGCAACCCCCCCTGCAATTATGGACGATGGTTCCCTTCTATTACATTTAAACAAATAAGGTCACTGTTTACCGACGATGCAGCCAACAGTAGGCTGGCCACAGACATCGATTGCAGGCTTATCCAATCATAGTCTTGAAGTATAACTAATTATACGACATGATAAACATAAGTTTGCGGTATTTTGTTCAAAACGCCATGAAATTTTACATGACTTTGCGCTCATAAATATATTTTAAAGAGTTTCAAGGAAACATTGAAAGGTTGAGTTAATGAATTGTATCTACAGTGTAAATTAATGGTTTACATTATCCAACTTGTAGCACTTTCGCGTACGTATTTGAGCATGCACAGTAAACAGGTAGCTGACGAAACCCCTAACCCAACCAAGCTTTCACAGGGCATTCCCGGCGCGGGTTCCTCAGCTTCATCACTTTGTATGTGCAGGTATCTTCGTCCAGTACTCTGAAGCACTTTCTTGAATTGAAGCCAGTGGGAATGGGGATGCTGAAAGAAAAAGAGACAGTGATCATTTACACCGACATTTGACACTGCTTCACCCACGTACAACGCACATTGCACACGATTTGTTTAATTTCGTCTTTTAATGTGCAAAATTCTTTGGCGTAAAATGCCTGGCGCACGATGGCGCTGTTACTCTAAAGTATGGCGTATCTCACACAGGTATCAATGGTGGGGGATATTTGTGCATAGGTGCAGTACACGTTTCACGACTGAGATTGACTGTTTTACAGAGAAGTCCATTATCATCGAAAGAAAACTTACTTCAAGCAGCAGCTGACTGCTGTACCACTTTTCATGCACGCGCAGTCGTAACACTTCGTCGAGACACCGGGAAGTTTATAAGGAACTTGGCCTGGTACACATTTCGCTGGAAGAAAAGGACGAACATATAGAGGCGTAGCTAGGATTTTACTTGTGGGGGAACAAGTTGGGCATGCACCAGCATCATATGGGGCACCAGCTTTTAGTGGTGTGGTTTTACAGGGGCAAGTTTTTGTTAGCCTTGTTCAAAGCCATTCATCCGTTTTTTAGGGGGGAGGACACCTGGGGGCACTGGGAATTTGGGGGGGGCAGTGCCCTCCCTGTCTTCCCTTGGCTACGCCCCTGTTTCCATACGTAGATGTTTTATAGACCTGTAGGTTGTCTATATACATGTATATCTTCTCACTAAAGAAGAAAATATCGCAGACAGTCTGTGGTTACCTCCCTCACAATGCTCGTCACAGTTTCTCTTCCCCGAGCATTCCTTGTTTTTGGTTTTTGTTTTCATCAAAGTGCAGGTTATTTCATGAAGCACCACAGGATCTTTATCTCTAGATTTCTAGTGAAGATCTTACTGTGATCGTAGGATTTGACTCCACAACCTACGCCATGAGCAATGGGCACAACCCATCATTCAAATTCCAACCGAAAGCCAACTTACATCTAGCAATGAAACATGAAGCGTTTGCTCCTACGACAAGAAGCATTGTGCACATAAAGATTACAACCACCCTGGCCATTTCAAATCTGAAACAAATAAGAAATGGGATGATAGCATTCGAAATGATTTGGCAAGGGTGAAAATTCTGGTGAGATGCGGGTATATATCCCCCACCTTTTGACCAGAAGAGGATTGAGCTATTGAATCACCTCCCCCCCCCCACGTTTTCATGGTGAGAAAAATTAATGCAGATGTGAAGCATTTTTCTGACTTCCCAACAACCAAATTATATTATACAGCACTTAAAAATGCGCTGTTTTGACGCGAACTTCTGCAGGAGTGTAATGTATATCACAGATGTTCGTCAGTAACATGAACATACACTGTTAAAAATGGCTGTTTTGGGACGGCACATTCTATTGTGATTTTTCCTGTGTTTATTAACAGGAGATTATTATGGAATGGGATTTAGGACATGACAAAAAAAAAATTTAATTCGCACATACGGATTGCTATTTCGTGCACGTACGGATTACTATTTCGTACGTGCCGATTGCTACTTTGTACGTTTTGTAAATAATGATCTCGGCACTGGTCGCATTCAAAATTCTGCTTTGAGCAGAAGCATCCCCTAATTGGTTGAAACGAGCCATGCTGGTGGGCCCGTGTTGTTTTGTTGGTACTTGGTAGGGCCGGACGCGTACGCAACGCATGTAGCTCACTGTCATTTGGAAACCAGCAACGAAGACTTCCTACCAAAGGAGCCTCTGTTGCTAGGAAGTCGCACCCTTTCTTGGTCCCGCTCTGGCCCAATGAACTGAAGTTTAGTAATGCAATGCAACCTGTGGATTACTTATCTGTAAGTACGGTTTAGTAATACGTACGTAGGAAATTTTTTTCTTAGGATGTCCTCAATACGCTTCCATAATGATCTAAACAAAGAAATACTGACAGTAGAATGTGCTGTCCTAAACAGGATCTTTTTTTAAAGCCAATTGACAACAGAGTCTACAGTAATCATTTAACAGAAATTGTTAACAGTGTAAATATTACCCATTTTGTGTCATAATCTCCCCCCCCCCTTAAATTTCCATGGCCGGACAAGTCATTCCCCAACGTCCTGCACCGCCCACCGCCCCTTCCTGGCACAAGTGCACGCTACCGCATAGGCTTGAAGTACGTAGGCTACAGCTCTGAGCAAGTTCTTCCTACAAGTTCCAGGTACTAATAATGTATACAATAGAGCTTTTAAACAATGCGTCACATCTCCCACAATTCCTTGTGGTGGTCTATTTCTGAGGTCTTGACCCATCGCAAGCACTTTTGCAACGCTGCTGCGGCTAGTGGCTTTTGTGGCTAGTTTATTTCTGCTCCTAATTACATGTATATTCAAAATAATATAAATGTGACACACATTCATGGAACATAACACTTGATTGCGTTACGTGATTAAGGATAACTTTAACAGGTTTGACTTGAGGAGTTTCAACAGTACTTATGCTACTGATAATATCTTATGGTGGTTTTCAAATTGATTTGGATTTTGCTTTTCTCCTCCCCCTAAAAGAATCCAATCCAAACATACACAGAATTATTTAAGATCCCAAAATCACTCTTGCTACAATGTGTGGCTTTGTAAGGTATTTGTTGGAAGAAGGGTCTGACAATTGTTTGCAAAAACAAATCATAGATAAACCGAAATACTGGTAACATCTCACAAACTATTCAGCTACATGATATCCATTGTTCCTTATCCAACTTTTATTGCATGTACGTCGATATGTCACACATTTAGCCACAATAAATAAAAACGATTCTTGGGTAGGAGGACAAAAATCGGACGTTTAAAAAAAAATCTGCTAAGCCCTATACAATCGATTTGAAATTCACAAGGCAGTGGAATCTATCGATTAATAGTTCGGAAAATCCTAACGAACTGTGGACTGGGACAGGGGTGCAGTGGTGTATTCCATAGAAATCTTTCCTCCCACCAACCCATCCCAGAAAGCAATGCCACATGCACGCAAAAAATTTAAACGACTGAAATACCCAACCAACCTAAGAGGCGCAGGCAACCGGCATGTACTCAAAAGATTACGTTTTGATTCCTTTCCCAAGGAAATAAGTTGGTGAAATTACAATCTGTCTGCTGCTTGTCGGACTGCGCGTCTAATATGTACATGCACTGAACATATACGTGATGCTTGTGCATGGGCAGACAAGCGGACGAAGCTGAGAGAAATTATTTTATTAATAATTAACCTGAAACACGCGGACATCGTTCACACTTCACCTATTTTACTCAACAAATTCAGTGATGCAGAACAATTACAAATTTCTTGTCTTTTTTTTGAGTCATACAAAGTAGGGACTTCAGTCGAACATTTTTAAGCCTAGGTACCCACATGTGTATAACGGAAAACAAGTTAGTCTCTCTTTAGGAGATTGGGGACCTGTTTTATTTTTATTTATGCAAGTTTGCATATTTATGACCAAAGTGTTGTGTCATTACAAAACCTCTCTTTCTCTTACAGCTCTTTCTGCCCTTCGATTTGCCAAAAGAGTTTTTCCAGTATTACCTCGCAATCATTTTGAGACCATTTTTGTGCAAAACTTAGCCGGAGGAACCGTTTCCGTAAAACACCCGATCTTTCCCAGATTGGACAGCGCTCAATACACAAGGACCCACACGCGTGAAGCCATTAACCACTTCCAAGCACTAAAAGTTAGAAGTTCAGATCATATGGAGTGTCTGTATATGTATGCAAAGTTTTAACGTGATCGAGCAGGGGGCAGCTGAGTTTTCCGCTCCGGACGGAACAAAAGAGGTCATGTTTTTGGTATTCACATTGATCTTCATTATGTCAACATGGCGACCAATGGGAGTTCACCACATAGGCGCGCCGTGATGCAGGCGCGCAAGTAGATATGCGCGTTTGACGCGGAGCACGCTGAGTACGCGTAACTAATTTATTCCGGTATGTATGGTCTTTGCGTCTGCGCAAAACGCGTGCAAGAACCCGCTTTAAGCCACCTGTCTTTCTTTCGCTGATTGGGGGTACACTTAAGTTCGGGGTGGATAAGCAGGGCTGTGTCCCTCCTGGCTGTGATGAGATGATAATGCTCAGCTCTTTTAAGTTTAGCAACTTTTTAGATATCGTAAAAACAGAGAACTTCATCGACAAGCCAGCCAAAAACTATTGCTCCGATTCAGCCTGCATTCGCAAGAGAATTCAATCCGCCTTGAGTTTGAAGGGCACCCTCACCGGCGAAGGAAAGACAGTTGTAATGAACTGGTCAAAAGATACACGCAAAAAAGTGGTTGCCCATCGTCGAATCTTTAACTCGCTACTATCTCGTGGCCGCGACGGCGAGATATTAAATCGTTGAATGTGCATCTCTCCGCGGCGAGTTATAAGATCTTTTTGCGGTGTCAAACTGATATCCCACCAGAGCGAATAATTCAACAGTTTCTTAATTCCTATTTAGCGTGTGTCTTTAGTTTATTGTGTATGTTTATTTAGCGTGTGTCTTTAGGGTTACATGCACTGAAATGCAGTGAGATTCGGTTTTAGATTGCTAATAAGAACAAAAGGAATGTTAATTTTCAGCCAAGTTTGTTTCCAAGACAAAGAAAACCAAAGAAATCTCTTTTGGGAGTATGAATTTCCACATCTGGAAGTAGAGTACACTACTTTGACTCCCTGGTAGACTGCCTGGTAGACTGCCTGTTGAAAGGATTACAGTGCCTTTTCATTTATACTTTAAATAATCCTATTTACATAGGCGCAACGAAGGCGACCCTGAAAAGAAAGAAAATTACAACTCTTCCAGCAGTTAGATGTTTTGTTTAGATTAGACGGCCCCCCAAAAAAAACATAAACAATCTGGCCACGCCCATGTTTTTAGCCAATGTGTGTTGCCATTTTGAACCAAACCTCTACGGAGCTCTAGAAGTGCCATCCGACTTGTTGAGATCCAGACATGTTTTTCTCAGAATGACGACATAATGAAGGCAAGATGTCGACATTCTGAGAGTTTATCACCGGATGACAATATCATAAAAGGTGGATGATGCCATCCTCAGATAATTTATCATGGGACAAAGGCATCCTAAAAGTGGAATAACGACATCCTGAGATAACTTATCATGGGATGATGACATCGTAAATGTTGGATGATGACATCCTCAGATAATGACGATAATCATTATTTCAGGATGTCGTCATCCAGAGACATCCAGCAAATGCGATGTCTACCCTTTTACGATGTCGTCATCCCATGCTAAATTATGTCAGGATGTTGTCATCCAATTGTTACGATGTCGTCTTCCAACGTTTACTATGTCGTCATCTCAAGATAATTTTTTTAGCTGCAGGTAGTGAACGTCTTGCCTGTATCATGTCGCTATCCCGAGAAACAATATGTCAGGATGTCAACATGTCAGATGGCACTTTCAGAGCTCCGTAAACCTCGATGTTGATATCATTCCAACATTAAAATATGCAATGATTGAGGAGATTTTAACAGGCAAAAAGAAGAATGAGGTGAAGGGGAAGCTAACACACACTTTTCATCAACTGGAATGAAATCTCCAGGCTCTTTGACCTCACATCCATGCAGTCACTTGTCACAAACCACCCATACAGCGCAGGGCGCTGGGAAGGGCAAATACATAGCGTATTTTTTGTCAAGAACTTATTGGATAGAGTTTATTTTAACATCTGAACATTGGTCGACACTTCCGACCCGGTAGGCATGACATGTGTGCACTCATGCTATATTTGGAGATTAGGGCACTAAGTGATCTAAAATGCTTTTGGCGTCCAAAGCTGTGAGGTATTTCGTGCGTTGCGTTTGTAAAAGTACTGTTTTGATCTCTATTTCAAGTATTATAAATGAATAAATTTCGACTGATGAAAGTTCAAATGTATAACTTACAATTCCGCTTGCTTCAGTTTGGCACTAGGAAAAAGTAGGAAGGAATTGAAAATAGTTTACCGCTCATTTGAATGTGGAAGTTCACACCACAAAATAGGATTTTGTTGTCTTTGTGTTGGAAAATAAGCTTTCTTGATATATAACATCCATTTCTGTTACAATTCGGAATCTAAAACCAAATATCAATGCATTCCACCCTAAAGGTACATTGGAAGACGACGCACTGGATAGGAGTCATGAAACTACGTGTATTGAAATATTCGCCACGGCGGGATATCAGTTTGATGCCAAGGCAAGATTTTATAACTCGCCGCGGCCAGGTACACATTCAACGATCTAACTCGCCGCTGTGCGAGATTATAACTTGAATTATACACTTCCATAAGTTTGCATCAAAGGATTATCAATGTCATTTTTAATTTTGACTAACTTTTCTTTTTTCCAAGGATTATGCCTATGTTAAACTAGATTTTAGGTCGAGACAAGTGCTCGTATGAAAGGCGAATTTTATGTTCAAAGCCATGGTAAGAAACATATGGTTCGTTTCAATGGACCCTTTGAAAAAAAAAACTTTCAGGAAGAAGTCAAAAGTTATAGGGTTTACATATGTTTTAATAGTCTTTCGGCCTACATAATATTGACAGACCTATTTAGGACTTTGGTGATATCTTGGCAAATACTCCTTGGTTTCTCATCCATTTCTAGATCAGGGCAAAAATTACAAATTTCGTTGCAAAATTATTTCACCATCTCAAAATATATTATGAATGGCTAACTCAGCATGCATAAAGCAACATTTTTTTGTCTGGTCTAGAGTTGGTGCCTTACCTTGTGTTGAAATCAGACGGTGTCAAAACCAGTCAAACGGATGTCAGCACTGATCCGAATATCAGTTAGTCCTTCTTGCCTGCTGCTCTGCAATTTGCTTATCATTCTCCTCCAGCAATTCCTTTATATCGTAAACTAATTCATACGTCAAATTCTGACTAATTTAATGAAACGAGACCATAGTGTTAATATCGAAGCAACATACCGGACTCATCCGAGCGGCTTTACCAGCCGTCACGCTTGGGCGCTCGGCATCTTGCACTGGCAACCCGGCACTGAGTTGGTGGTACAAAATTGGTAAATTCGTTGACAGATGGCGTTTGTAATCTTCCCATGACTTTTGATATAAATTAAAGACGAAGTGATTAATCTCAGTCACCTTCATGATAAGGTTCGCCTATTGGTTCAACAAAAATAGTAGAAGTCGACATTGTCCTCGAATTACCGAGGCGATCTCTTCTTTGATTTCAATAAGCCATGCGCAGGTTCCGTAATTAGTTACCAAAATACATATATAACTGTATAACTCCAAAGTGCTCAAGCATGTTTCATTTGTTGGAGTGTGGTCTGGCAAAAAAAAAGAGTTGTCAAGATCATAAAAATGTCTGGGAATGTCTAGATCCCTTTGGAAGCACATGGAAAATCCATCAAGTAATTTATGGACAAGATAATTAAACGAGCAAAGTGCAACTAGCATGTGGAAAATGTATCCGAAGTAATTATGAATGTACCAAAAGAATAAACTGGAAATGGAATGCCTCCACCTTTAGTTTAGAATTTAGAATTTACTTATGTTTACTCCTAATTTACTGAAATTTCATGATAACGTTATTGGAAGTTCTAAGTGAAGCGTGTTTTCCTCAAATAAGTTCAACTGAAATTCATTATTCTCGTCTACAAAACTGGATGTGCAGGTCGTTTGCTCACTTTTAATGTAACATTTGGCCAGAGCTTTGCCATGCGCAGATCAAAGCTGAACATGTTCCTTATCAGCACTGACTCCCATGTTCCGTAGACGCAAAAAACAGCCAATATTTTGTTTGGACTCTAATTTTCCGCATTTTTTCACCAAATATCCTTTCATTTCTTTTTCCTTTATGTTTTAATTTTTTTTTTGAGACCTCCTTCAAATTTCCTTCGATCAGAAACGGCAGACTGTATAATTTCAATTGCTTACAATGTGTGAAATCTAATTCAATGTCATTCACGTGTTTCATGACGAAGTAATTACTAACATGAGCCAACCTCAGAACATTGGCGAAAATGTGCTGCATGGTCTGCTAGACAGTTGTAAAGGAAGATTTGTACCAAGCCCTTTCTCATGTTTGACTTCTTTGACATCCATTTTGCTCTTTCATCCTCTATATCAAAGCCTTGGAAACGTTTACCCATAACTGTTTCATTTCATTTCATTTTTTGATGAAGATATTCAGTACGCGAAGGCACATTTAAAAATTTGAAGCAAAGCATAAAGGAAACAATATTAACCAGCTCGTGATGGATCGCCCAAAAGCAAAATAGTTTCCGTAGAGGGGCTCTCAAAACGATGAAATAAGAAACAGGAAAATAAGACAAATTTTCATAAACTAAAAATACTAAGCAGCACATTAAGAAAGGCAATGAATACAAAAATGTTCACCCATAAACGCTAACGTATAGTCAAGACACCGGTAAAACAGCAATGGGGAACAATGTTGTCGAATTACAATAACATAGACAATACAACAACACACAGGCAGCATTAAAATATTTATGAAATAAGAGATTGGACTGTGCGGAAGCACCAGGTCCGATGGTGCATCCAGGGGAATGAACTCGGATTTTTCCGCGTTCGTTCGGAACTGAATCTGTTTGCCCTGAAGAAGGTACTCAGTTACCGAAAGCTCGGCAATCACATATTTCAGAGCACTGATATTATATTATATTCTCGTCAATATTCTGATCACAGTGCTGCGCGGCCCTTCCATATTTCACAGGTGGGATGGTGGTAAGGTTATTGATCCTAAGATTACTACCTTGGCATGCTAACCTCGTGTGCCCATATTGTTCTGAAATTATTACTTTCAAAAAGTTCATCAGCATGTTTACAGTGTTCCGCTCTTCGTCGTTCACGAGTACATCCAGTTTGCAATGGCTGAATGAATCTGAATGCGTTTATTGTGCTGGTCAAATCGTAAGCCATGTAAAATCGTTACTATGTCCAGGATTTTTTTTCCGTTTAACTCCGAAAACACAAGCCATGAGAGATTCTTCCCTGTCTGAACAAGCCGTGTACGAAGACCATGACATGTGATAGCGGCTTGTACAATTACCATGCGCAAACAAACAAACGACTCGTATGAAAGTCTATCCTAGATGTCTGCTACGGGTACAGTATGCAGGTAACGTGTAGGTTGAAACATGCGAAAAATTAATGTACGTGAGAGGTTTAGAAATGAAATGTCTGATTTGAATACAGCCGGGTGTGGCACTTGCGAACATAAGCATCAACGGTCCGGGCATGTATACTGAGCAAAAGTGGCAAGCCTTTAATATAAGTCTTAGTTCTTATGAAATAGAATCGTCATTCCTAGGCAGTATATAGGGACGTCATGATGTTTGACAACGGAGCTATCCTTTCAATAGCTCCATGGTTAGACATGATAATTCACCGCATATTATCAGGGAACATATACATGTATGTTCAAGCTTTTAACAGCATAGTAAATTATTCTACATTTGAGGAATATAGATGAAGCCTCAAAATTCATTAATTAATAAAATTGTAACGATAAAGGTATTAAATGTTTTTAAATGAACGTTTTGGATTGAATTGAATGATCACCTCATCGATCTGTCGGATTGCCATCTTTTAGACTGTCGCTTAATTTCACCAAAGGGTTATTACTTGTACATATAATTTATATTACATCTCAAAAGGGTAGGCCTAATTAAGAGGTTGGTAAGGAACGACCCCGTTACACATTGGTGTCTTCCAATCATTTAAAATTGAAATTGAACTAATATGTATCATGCCAATATCAGGTTTCCCCCCCCCCCGCTCCCACGAAAAGAAATGCTCTACTGACCGCACTCTACATGTACGTATACTTGCATTAGGGATTTGTCACCATTATAGGCAACCCTTTGTGAGAGAGCAACCGGCTGTAAACGAAGACTACGAATGGCCCTAAGTGCGCTGTACATGTATTGATCGAAGGTCAATTTATGCAGGCGGTGAATGGTGAGGACGCGGGAAGTAATGGCGGATTGTACTGTACATGTACACAGCCAGCAATAGCTAAGCCCACAGTGTTCAATGTAACTGCAAGGCTTACGGCATGTTCATGAATAGTACTGTACACGTATACTGGTTGGATGGATACAATCACTTCGGCATGCCATATCCCACCATAGAGAGAGGACCATGGTCCCCCTTAACGCGTCCATTTTCGCATGCCTCAATTTCGCTTCATGACATAAAATAGGAGAGCGTTCTAGTCCAGTCAAAATGTCCATTTTCTAGAATGAAAGACCTGGGGATCAAGAACTAGGCCTACGAGGAAACTACAGTTGTACAACGTACTGCAATTTATATTGTGTCTCAATTGTATGCAAGATGTTGCAAAAGCAAAACGAATACATAAAGCAGGGGGCACGACTGTCGTGAAAACTGGGCTGCCAGGACAGAGGTCACTGCCTTTATTAACAAGATCAATGACAGACATAAAGATCAATCTCTTTTGGGAAAATTTGGTGGCTCTGAAAAGAGCCGGGTTGGTGTTAGGAGAACGGTGGTCTGTTCCTTCAAGCTCGTTCTCCACGGATGCGACGGGCAAGCTGGATGTCCTTTGGCATTATGGTCACCCGCTTGGCGTGGATGGCGCACAGGTTGGTGTCTTCGAACAGGCCCACAAGGTAGGCTTCGCTGGCCTCTTGCAAGGCGCCAATAGCCGCGCTCTGGAAGCGCAGCTCGGTCTTGAAGTCTTGGGCGATTTCACGAACCAGACGCTGGAACGGCAGCTTGCGGATCAGCAGCTCGGTGCTCTTTTGGTAGCGACGGATCTCACGGAGAGCCACAGTACCAGGACGGTAGCGGTGAGGCTTCTTCACTCCCCCAGTAGACGGGGCACTCTTGCGGGCTGCCTTGGTGGCCAACTGCTTACGAGGAGCCTTTCCTCCAGTAGATTTACGAGCGGTTTGCTTAGTACGAGCCATTTTTCAATTCGGTCCTTTCCGATCGAGATAACGACTACAAATGATATATGATATGATGCACACAATGTACAGTACCTATACAACGCGTTACCGTTAACGGTTACTGCGTTGCTAGTACGGAGTGCGATTACCCGCTATTGTGTACATTGTGCATGTGAAAAAGCAGTAGCGGGATACCAGCGATCGCAACTCATTATGCATACCGCATGCCTACAGTCACGCTATTTGTCTGATTACTGACTGCCAATTGGCCAGCAGATCTCCTCTCCCGTTCCTACTGGTCAGCAATAATAACGACAACCGCTGCTGATTGGTTTAATAATTAATTGTCCACTACTGAGGGGTTAATGGCGGGCACAATAGGAGGGCGCTTTTGCTGTTGATAAGTGGACAACCCAAATTTCTCCTTTGCTGCCGGAACATGTGTAGGTTATTAGAGGTCGCGTCACACAGAAAACTCAAATTTATTCTAGCAGAAATTTGGATTTTACTTTGATGATTATCGCAATACCCAAAAGGGACAAGAAAGTTCACAAGTTTAGACTGTTCACGTTTGGTGCACCATGAGGGAATGTGTATGAATAAATATTTCCAGTTATACAAGACATTAACCCTAATTTTCGTTTTTCTCATAGTTTCGGTGGATTCGGTGTCTGTGATTATAATCAGAAACACTGTTTTCAAGATATCACACACGCATGTAAATTCAGTTGAATTTTAATGAATAATTTTGAGAAAAGTCGAGATGGTGTATCGTTTCTTTTAATTTTACGACTTCGTTCTTATTCACAATCATCTTTCCCCAGACTATCCTTTCAACCAAGACCATAGGCGAATTCAAGATTTTCCTAAAGCAGGGGCGTGATCCTGGATTTACCAAAGGGAGGTTGTGAACTAAAGCACCAATAGGGTGAGCTTTCGTGTAGCGCCAAGCCCTTACGGCGGTGGATCCGGGGCCATTTGGGCTTCTAGGCCAATGACCCCTCTTTTTTTCTCCCACCCTCTTTTTCTTCTTTTCTATTTATTTATGTGGGAGGGGGTGAAAAAAGGGGGCGGCACCCCTTTATGCTCCCTTGGGTCCGCCCCTGAAAACAGGTTTTTGCCTTGTGCAACGGCATGAATATTTTGAACATCATGAATGCCAACAAGCCTCGAATGAGAATTTGGTTGTATCATTTTTGGTAATATTTTTAATCCACTTTTTAGGGGCGCAGAGTTGTTTTGGTTCCACCTGGCTCAATACTTGTCTGCCATTTTTCTTACGCAGAATATTCAAAAACTGATGATAAATCATGCCAATGTACACGCCTAAGAAGATTTTATTTTTAAAACAATTTCGCAAAGACGTTCGTTAACATTAGGAAATGGTACGTTACACAAACCTCAGTCAATCAAATATTGAAACTTTTACTAATGTAATTTTTAATCACGAAACATGCTGTATTTCAGGGTGACTTTGGAACCCTGGGATAATTTTGGCACAAGCCACACCCTTTGATTGTAATCGTCATATGCAACGCGCTATGTAAATCCTTTAAGATTCTCTAAAACATTTCTATAAAAGTACTATTATCATAGAATACACCTGGAAGCTTGGCCTGAAGAATTTCTTATGTGTAAAACTTGTTATAATCCTTATTATTTTTTTTATTCCAACAACCTGCCAAAGTTTCCCCGAACCTTGAGGTGACTTTGCCAGCAATTAATTAAACTCTAACTCACAATTAAAAGAAGTGGATGGCTGTTTGCTATTACTAGATTAGACTTAAGGCTTCATGTGACAAAAATGTCCAATCAACAAAGAAAAATATTTCTGTTTATGGAAAAGCAGAAACGCTAATGATTTCAACCTGCGAAAGTTACCCCGGTTGACGGTATCTTGATCTCGCTTCTCTACAAAAACGGATGGGGCTTGTTCTGAACGCTGAAAACACCGGCCTGTTGTTTTCCTGACAACTCCCAGAAATAACTGAATCAAAGGCATCGTGCGCAAGATTTCCCTCATTTACCTTGAGGAAAGCTGGTGTTGGGTGAACCACTCGGCCCTTGATTTAACTTCTCTGAAAATCAAACAAAAGAATTAACAAAAATTTCTGAAGTGTACAATTCTGGATCCAGGGCCAAAAATTTGGTGACTTTTTTTTATTAAGGGTCACTCTGAGGGTAATTCTAAATTTGATTGCTTCTTAATTTTACTACGTTTTTGGAAGCTTTACTTTACCATAGACGGACGCCATAATGTTGATGTTCGATACCCACTATAGGTCACGTGACTTAGCGGTCTAGTCAACAGCATCACAGTCAAGTACCTCTAGTTACTCAACAACCTAGCCCATTCACTATCTCGTCTCGGTCCTCACTCAAGATGACTGAATCCAAGAGCTTAACCGTGAATGGTTGGGCTACCGACTGCAGGTTGACTCCCCCCCCCATCCGTGTCTCCACGCAGCCACACGGTTTGGGTTGAGGGACAAACCAGCGAAGACATGGCTGGTCCAACTCTTCGTCTCGCTCTCCTTGAACATACCACACTCTGTTAAACCGCCCTCAGGTGTTCAATTCAAAAGGAACAAAATAGTCTGTTATCGTAGTTCGATTAAACTTACCAGCCTTAGGATTTTAGAAACTATGATCATCTTTACCCTCACTTGGGATGGTACACGTATTTCTCTCGCACAGTTGGCCCTATCCGTAGCACTCGTGGCGGGCTATTTGTGTTTTATTCAGTGCATGATGCACATGCCTATTAAGCAGTACGCCACCATACCAGCAATGCTTCGCATTCATGTGCGTCGCTAAGATTTTTTTTGAGTTTTTTTTCAGAGTCAAGGCAAACCATTCAGCAGCAAACTGACTACCATTTACAATGGAAGATGGTCAGTCCTAGACATTTTAAGCCAGTTTGTGGTTTTTGTCTTTTTTGTTTTTTTGTTTCTTGTTTGGTTATTATTATTGCTTTTTGGGTGTGTTTTTTTGTTGTTGTTCATTTGTTTGTTTCTGTCGCTTTTTCGTTTCGGTAGCTTGCTTTGCAAACGCCTGATGTATCCCGCACAGTTGGTGCCACTCAAGGAGTCGGCTTGCCAACTAATTTCTGAGATATTTACATGTATGGAGGTCATCCAACTCAATTTCCATCAATAAATCTTTTAAGTTTTTCAGTGATGAGGCACAGCGGAGTAACTCTGGCAATGAGTTCCAAATAGGTATAGTGACTTTTGGTAACAGTTCTTATTTGCAGAAATATGCCTATACATGAATCTGCCAGTACTCAGACGTTTTCTGTCTCAAGTCTGTTGCCATTGATGAGGTGATATTGCTTGGGATAAGACCATGGGTTTCTTCATACATCAGTTGCAGACCAACTCTAACACGTCTGGATTCAAGACTATCCCACTGGAGTTGAGTAACTAGATCAGTAAAACTAGATTGGCGCCTGTAGTCATTGAAGGCAAACCTCGCAGGACGCCTCTGGATTTTTTCGATTGTGTCTTTGTTGGACTGCTGGTATGGATCCCATATAGCATGACAATATTCCAAAAGTGGACGAACCAAAGCAAAATAAGCTGCTGACTTAGTTGATCTATCACACCAGGTCAAGTTCCTCCTTAGTAGGCCCAGAGTTCTGTTAGCTTTCATTGCAATTTTGTTGATTAGTTTGGTCCAAGTCATATCTGACGAAAGCTCAACACCAAGGTAGGTGTGATCTTTTACTTCCCTGAGGGTGTGATCCTCCATCACGGATTAATGATTGGTTTTCTTTCGTGAGTAATTCTCAAGTTGAAATATTTTGCTGTATTGAAACTCATTTGCCAAGTGGCTTCCCAATATTTCAACCTGTTGATATCAGTTTCAAGACGTTTAGTATCTTGAGTGCTGCTGACTTCTTGATATATGATACAATCGTCGGCAAACAATCTTACACTTGATGATATATTGCAAGGTAGGTCATTAACATATACGAGAAAAAGAAGGGGCCAAACAAAACACTGTGCCCCGAGGGACACCTGAGATCACAGGTGACATTACTGACGATTCACCACCAACTACTACCCTTTGATGACGTTTAGTAAGAAAATTGCCAATCCAGGAGAGGATGTTATTTCGAATTCCAGCATGATAAAGTTTTGCAAGCAGGTGTTGGTGGGGTACGGTGTCAAAGGCCTTGCTAAAGTACATAATTACTAGATCAGCTTGGCTCTTTTTATCTAAAATCCTCTAGAGGTCATCTACTAGTGCAGAAAGCTGGGTTTCACATGATCTCCCTTTACGAAAGCCATGTTGTTGATCTGTAAAAATGTTGATCCATGAAGTGTCTATAGATGATGTGTTCTAGCAGCTTACAGGTGACTGATGACAAGGACACTGGCCAATAGTTAGACGACACTGATCTGCCATCCTTCTTGTAAATGGGAGTTATATTGGCATAGCACCAATCTGAGGGGAGTGACCCTGTTGATATTGACATCGTGTATAATTTCTGTAGGATTGGGGCAATGATATTACAACGATTCTTGAGTACTCTCGCTGTTCTACCGTCTGGACCAGGAGCTTTGTATACTTGAAGATTATTAAGCAACTTAAGAATGCTTTCTGTGAAAATGAAAATGTCGGTGATGTGTAGCACACTACTGGGTCCAAGATCGGGAATATTCTCTATGTCTTCGTTTGTTTACACTGAGCAGAATTGACGATTTAAAGCCTTGGCCTTATCCTTTGAACTTGAGAGAATTCTACCTTCGGCATTGAGTGGCGAGACACCTGAAGCTTCTCTTCGGTTAGAATTGATGAAGTTTCAGAATGGTTTAGTGTTGTCTGACTTCAAACTACCACCAATAATATCCTTGATGTAGGTTTTATAAGACATCCTAAGTTTTCTGTCGATACTTCTCCGAAGTATCCATTTGCGAACTTTGTTATAGATTGTTTGCTTTCTCCTGATATCTCGTTTGATGGAGCTATTTACCCAAGGGAAAGAGAAGCGACTAGAACTAAACTTTGAAGGTATGTTCCTATGC